GTGATGTATTTACGATGGGATTTAACTTCTAACACAGGGCAAGTTTGGCAGTTACAGCCCATGAAGCTCACGACTCTGTACATGGATTTCTTGACCTAACATTCAAAAGGACATTTCGTAGTACTAGTTTAATTCTGATCTCTCTCTAGAAGGCAGAAACCACATCCCACACTCCTATGCAATTTATTTTGGTATTGTAAAGTAAATGAATAAGAAGGGGTGGAGACATAAAGAAAATCTAGTTTCTGGCTGGGTGCGGTGGCTCATGCCTGTAATCCCAGCACTTTGGGAGGCAAAGGCGGGTGGATCATGAGGTCAGGAGATCGAGACCATACTGGCCAACATAGTGAAACCTCGTTTCTACTAAAAATACAAAAATTAGCTGGGCGTGGTGGCGCGTGCCTATAGTTCCAGCTACTTGGGAGGCTGAGGCAGGGGAACCACTTGAACCGGGAGGTGGAGGTTGTAGTGGGCCAAGATCGCACCACTGCACTCCAGCCTGGGCGACAGGATGAGACTTTGTCTCGAAAAATAAAATAAAAACAAAGAAAAAAAAATAAAATCTTTAGGCATTCCCAGACACAAAGATCTCAGAGACGGACAGCAAACAGCCTCCGTATTCATCTGCCCAAGGCTGTTTGTCACAGTTCCCTTAAAAGATGCCTGGAAATGCTCCCAACAACAAGGGACTCAAGTATGGGGCTGAGTTGGTTATAAAAGCAGCTAAATGTGTTTAGGAAACACACAAAGTGAAACCAGACAGTGATGGCCCATGTACAAGACTTGTGCTTGAAGCTTTGGTGTGCCTCCTTGGCCAATTTTTCAGGCACCAAAAACCATTCCTGATTGATTATTGATATACAATGCAAACCAAACTATGAAAACACAGACTTTTTTTCAGAAGAGGGAAATAAAGGCACAGAAACCTGCCAAAATAGATATTTTTTTCCGTAAGAATAGTATGGTTGATTAAAATAGTTTATCACTAGTAAAACTTGTATCACTAGAGCAGACAATACAAATTAGTTTTTTAAAAAATGACATTCACTGAATTCTTGGTCTGTGCATTCAATGTGAATAATCATCAAAAATATATTACAATTAAAGGTTTGTAAGGAGCTCTGTCTGGGATTTCTGCAGTATATTATTTCGGAGGAGAAGAACCACCATCAAGTATGAGCTATCCACTGTTCCTTTTTACGTTGTGTATGGTAATCAGTCTATCTCCTAATGCAGGCTCACAAACTTCCACGGTGAGATGTCTAAGTGACTTAGTAACTTTCACACTCATTAAAGACAGCCCTGTCCATCAAACGCCATACTTAGAAAGTCCAATAAACTGTATTACATTTTAATAAATATTTCTGTGTACTTTTTGTTTTTTGCTTTTAAGCTCAGCTTAAATCTTGTCAAGGAAACCATTTCACAAGACAGTATGTCACAGCCTACTATCAGCAATAGTCCTTGTTTATTAGAATCTGCAGATGTCCATATTACATCAAATATAAATATATATTATATTTACATTTCCTTCTTAGCTTTTCAATTTAGGTGAGTGTATTTATAGATAATGCCACTAATGTACCACTATTATAATCCTCAGTGCAACTCGTATCTTCTTTCCATTAGATGCACATTAATATAAGACAGCATCTTAAAAGAGGGGTACTGTTCTTTTTTAAAATAAAAGGAAAGAAAGGGTATCCAAGAATGGAGGTCTAGAAATTTTCTAAGAGATTTTTGTTCTGTTTTTTAATATTTAGAAATACCTGAAAAATGTGGTCCCTTTTTGTCGTATTAGACTCTACTTGGGGACAAGAAAATAGAATATGCAACTCAGAAAGGAAAGAGCCCAAAGAGAACCTGCTTGTTAGCTCATTAACCTGTTTAGTAAAGATCTGCTTTAAAATGCCTGAAGCTGTACAATATTATACAAAAACAATCTTCAGCCTTCAAAGCAGCTGATGCGCCTTCTTAGAGATCTGTTTGTTTGATTAACAGTCTGCTGCCTTGGTGGGCCTTGGTCTTGGTCACTTTCGGTCATCGATGGTTTTAATGAATTCTACTGCTGCTGTGAACTGCATCCACCAATAGGACTCCTCTCCAGACAGACAGCTAGCATAAAAGCTACTGATATACTGCACAGTAGACAGCAAACAGGGTGGATTTGCCTAGAGAAGTAAAAAATGAAAGTCAATTACTCAGATGTCAAAGCTCTGCCAAAATCATTTAAGTGTTCTTCAAATGTTCTTCTATGAAAGACATACCAATCCTTTTGAAAACAACCCTGAAGTTATTTTTTGGAAGTAATCTTTAAACCCTAGTTCCCATGAGTAGCAATAATATGTTGGAAAGGCAACCCAGGTTCTAATCTCAGCTAATCTATCTAGAGGTTTCTATCCTTGCAAGTCCTTAACCTCACTGGTTTCTAAGAAGGCTGAACTAATCTCTGTGGTCTTACTCAACATCCCAGGATTTCAGAATGTTAGACACCAAAATAAATGCTGTAAGCAAATTGAATTATATCTGGTAAGTCCAGGGAGAATAAGCTGAGAAAGAAAAAACTAAAAAAGATGGCATGCCCTCTGTTGCCAGAGGTAACAGAGGACATCTTCTGAATTTTTTTTACCTTCTTCATGTGGTGAGAAAGGGCACAGGCTGTTAAACGGTTAAGAGGAAGAGCTAGGGCCTTTTCCTTAAAACTAGCTTCAACTGGCTCTCCACAGGAACTAGATTTACTACGTTTGGAAGCCAGAAGAGCGATGGCCAACAGGAGGAGCTGTGACAGCCAACCCCACGGGTTTCTCCCTCCAAGCTGAGTTCAGGTTGTAGAAATATCACAATGCTAAGAAATAGTAGGACATACA